TTAATTAAATTTTTGTGGGCTTTTAAGTAGAAAATGAAAATCTTGATCCATATACTATATATAGATAGGGATGTCCTTGATGAAAGAGAGAGTTAGAAAAGTTCTAACGGCAAAAACACTTTGAGAGCCATGAAACACCCTATAGAAAAGAAAACTAACGTTCAAAAACAGATGCTGGGAACGCTGGTACATTGTTTGAGTTAGAGAGCTGTTCGTGTGGATACTGGTAAAAGGAGCAGATCTACATTGTTATCTTGATATCCAAACTCTAGAAGAGAACACACGCCAAGTTCAAAGAATTAAAAGGTAACTCTTCTATTCACTTTAACTTAAACGAGTTCATTCGATCCATATCAGGATAGGGACTTTAAAATTTTAATCTTTTGCTGTGCCTCCCTATCTAACAGTAGTACCAGAGAAAAATAGTTATCACTCTAGTATCGGGATGCCTCCGTTTAAGGCTTTGTATGGTAGGTGGTGTCGATCGCCTTTGTGTTGGATAGAATTTGGCGAGAGGAGTTTGTTGGGTTCAGATTTGGTAGACCAAACCACCTAAAAGATCTAAATGATCAAACAAAAGTTGCTAATAGCCTCAAGTTGATGGAAGAGCTATGCAGATTGGCATAGGAGGCCGTTGGAATTTTTAGTGGGTGACCATGTGTTCTTGAGGGTCACACCAATGACTGGCATTAGGGGAGATTAATTAAAGCTAAAAAATTGACTCCCAAGTTTGTTGGTCCCTTTGAGATTCTAGAGAAGTTAGGACCTGGGGCCTATCGAATTGTTTTGTCGCTGAGTTTGTCAGGTTTTCATGATGTTTTCCACGTGAGTCAGCTGAAGAAGTATCACTCAAATCCTTCTTATATTATTAAGTCGGAGGATGTGGAATTGCAAGAGAATTTAACCTATCGAGCTAAACCAAAGCGGAATATGGATGTGAAAAATTGATAATTGAGGAATAAAACTATTTGTTTGGTTAAAGTTTTTTGAAAAGGCATGGCTCCTAGTGATGCAACTTGGGAGACCAAGGACAAGATAAGGTAGTTATATCCACATCTATTCTCACAGGTGTGATTATATGAGATCATGAATTTTGAGGGTAAAATTCCTAAAGAGAGGAGAATTATAACATCCTAGATTTCAAATATGGGAATTTTTAGTGTTTAGGAGGGTATAATGGTAAAATTAAGTGAACTTTTAATTAATAATGTTTTTGGGAGACTAATATAACTAATAGATCATTAAATAGCCTTAGAAGAGGGCTAGATCAGAGCTTGAGCAGGTTGTGGCACGGAGAGAGGTTCAATTCATGTGTGGGGCTCTTTGTGCCATGCGCCGTGGCAGGCAAGAGCTAGTACTACAGCATAAGAGCGAAATAAAAATCATAGAAAGGGAAAGGGCAACAGGAGACGACCGATGACTGCTAGGACACAACCTCTAGACCATTTTAGACACATTTGGGGCAAGATTTATCCTTAGGTAAGCTTCCTACACCTTTCCCTCTCCCTTTTTATGAATTTTCTGAGATTTGGATTAATGTGGGGTTGTGATTTCATTTTTCTTGGGTAATAGTGGAACCCATTGCCTTAGTTAAGGTCTTGAGGAGTTAAATCAAACCTCAAAACCTAGATTTATAGACTATATAGTGATTTGAAGTTTTTGGATAGGGTTTAGACTAACCCTAAGTAGAATTTGGGAGATTGAGAACAATGTGGGTAATGAAATGGTGTTATTTATGTGTTTGGGTGTTAAATAGAATTAATGGAGTGTGTTGGGAGAATTGTTGGTGCTAAATTAAATTTTTGGGTATATTAGGTACCTAAATTTGTGTTATAAATGGGGTAATTAAAGTGTGTATTGATGATTAAAAATTTAATCTTGTAGATTAACCATTGATCGAATATTTTAATGCTAGTGGACACGTGTGAAGCTGTTGTTTGACCACAGTAACCCTTTTAGTGACAAAAGGGTTGAGGTAACCGAATTGTCTAAACTCCCTTCTATGTTTAGATTATTGTATGGTAGTTATTAAGGGTAATACCCTAATTTTGTATTAATATAGTATTGATGTGAAGTGATTATGATTTAGAAACTATGTGAAGTGGAATGAAAAGTTAAGTAGTGTTGTGGTTTCTGAAAAGTTAAGTATAGTTACTTGCGAAATTCTATGTTTTAAGTAGAAAAAAGAATTTTGTAGAAATGATATGTTATGACTATGTATAGCTTCATTGAGCATATGTTTGGTTTGATTATAATGAGAGGGTGTGAGTTTACCCTAGTGTGTTTTTGGGGACATTGTTTAGAAATTCATATAGTACACTGGCACTGAGGAGGCCCCAGTGCTTAGTATTATAGTGTTTTAAAGTTTCAATACTACGTGAGGTAGATTAGGCATCGACACCCCTATTATTCGTGGATAGGGAGAATCTGTGGTCCATAATGGGCGAAGGCACTCTTAGCCAAGGCTGCCTCCTACTAACTATAAGCTTAGGCCAGCTCATTCACATAGACTTGGTCTTATCGAGTTGTCAGCCCACAAATTCAGTTGAAAAACATAAGGAGGGTATAAGGTAGTGTGTTGATCATGTATATCAAATTATAACCTTGTGTGTGGATATATGACTTGTTATATGTTTTTGATGCCACTTCACATACGCACTATCTGATCTCACACACGAGTAGTTTGATTAGACTTTTTAGTTACTAAGTCATCGACTCATCTCATGGTTATATTTTATAGGTGAAGGCAGCGATAAGGGCAAGGGAAATGAAGGTGCAATCAAGCATCGAGGGGACTAGCTAGTAACTGTATAGCCCTTCTTATTTAAATTGGGTTTTGTAATGAATTGTTCATGCATATGCCAACTAGGGAATCATATGTTATTTTGTGATGCATTTGCATGAACTTTGTTGTAAACTGTGGGTATCTCAGTCTAGAATGTTGCAATTGTGTTGTAATGGCTGTGAGAGGTCAAGATATTAATGCAAGTGTTATTTTGTATTGATTCATATGTTTGTTTGGTCATTGGAATTATTATGTGTGTTTGATACCCTTTGTGAGATTTATGTTAAACATGGGGTTTTGGTGGCCAAATCTTGTCCAGAATGTTGTTATTGTGATTTGAATGTATGTATAGGTTGTTTGTGGTTCATTTGAGTTAGTTCAAGTGATTTCATAGTTATTGACACTTGGTATGTGAGTTTAGAATGAAAATGTATCATTTTAGGTTTGGGTATCCAGTTGGCTCAGTATTTGGGTGTGAAAATAGTGCCAATAGCTAGGTGGTTCTAAGAGCTACGTGTGGACACTTGAATCGCTCAAATTGGACGTCAGACAGCAAAATGGCACGCTCTAAAAATTGGCTCGGAATGCTGTCACGGCAGCATGTGCGCGTCGCGGCACATTGACAGCCGTGCCGCGGTGTAAGGCATAGAGAAAGATGTTTTCCATTGTGTAGTTCACCGTGGCAGATGGAGTACTACGCCGTGGCGTATTGTGCCATTTTTGAAAAGTTTTCCAGATTGCCTTAATGTTATTTTAAATGTTGTTTTGACTTCTATGCTTCTGTTGTCTAGTTTGATTGGTTTTAAATTATAGTTTAAACTCAAACGAACTTTAAAAAGGGTTTCTTGGGATCCTAAATTCTTGAATCTTTTTAAATCTTCTTTTAACCCTTAAGTTATAATAACCACTTTAAGGTCTCATTTAGTATGGTGGAAATGAGAGAGATGGATTTGGAAATGGAATTAGAATTGGGAAAATTATTTGTTTAGTAAGATGGAATTTGAAAATTTTTGAATTCCAATTCCACCAAAATTGATGGAATTGGGTTCCATAATAAGAGTTCAGTTTTGTAATTCCACTAGCCTTTTCATTTTATCTTCCTCGCTATACCCTTTCCTTCATCCTCAGCCTCCATCATACCGTTCCTCCATCCCTGAGACAAGCACCCCATCAACGATAGTAAGCACCACCCCAATGACGGTGAGCACTACCATTGGTTAACAGAGACGTGGAAGGAGGTGAAGGTGGCGGTAGAGATGTGCCGAAAGGTAAAGGTGGCGACCAAGTTTGGTTCAAACTATCCAGATCTAGAAACCATTCTTCCAAATCTGCAACCATCGACCTCCAATGATTTCTCTGCTATACCTTGATGACGATTTATCTCTTCTCCCTTCTTAAGTTTCTAGTTAAAATTCATAAAACCTACTTGTTGATATGTTAACTATTGAGTTTTACATTAGAAATTGCTTTGGGTAAATTGTTTGATAAATTCATGAAAAGCCATATGTTCTTGATTTTGGAGCAAGCACTGTTGAGCTATTTGTTCTTTTGTTTTTCAATAGAAAAGACCACGAAGTTGCTGGGTGTAGTGGTTTGAAATTAGGAAAATATTAAGTCATAGAATGAACATGGTGCGGAGATTGAGAAGGAGAATATTGAGATGTTGAAAGATTTGTTAATCATTTGGGTTCAAGCAATTTTTTTTTTTGAGAAATGAGGACATTTTAGTCTTTTTTATATTTTAAATATTAATATTAAAAAAATAATATATCAATTCTATGAGCACACAATCATATTTTTAAATCTCATATTCATCTGCACTTTCATATTCATTTCTACTTCCATATCCATATTTATTTCCATCAAAATCATTTCTATTATACTAAATGAGGCATAAAGGAATTTAATTATCCTAATTGTTATAATGATGTTTCATGTTTGGTGTTTTATATATTTGGTAATGTCAAGAAATGACATTACATAATAACTTAGAATACTAAAAAAAAGTATACAAACTAATAATAAAATATGAGCAAAATATAGGGTTTAAAATTTATATTTTTTCATATTTTTATTATATTTATTTAATATAATTATATATACGACCGAGCAGCCCTTAGTTCATATTTCTTTGCATCATGATACTTAAAAAGAAAAAGTCTAATAATATTAATAAATTATTATTATCTCACTCATTGCCAAGTTGCGCGATACGGTGATGCTCAAGTCATGTGTCATTTCCGGAGTTTAGTTTCTTCGTCCTTCCCAAACGACAACAGCACAAGCTCCTTTGTATGGTTTAGCAATTGTTCGAGCAAAAAATTAGAGTGGAACAGAATGAAAGTAGCCTCGGAGGTGATCTTTCTCTTCAGAGACACAAAGGGATTTGCCTCTGCCATTTCCGATGCTTTCCGCTCAAACCCTTCCCCGTCTTTGCAGTGCCTGTAAGTCATTTCTCCATGTTTATGCTCTCACAATTTTCTTCTTCTTCATCTTTAATTCCATCAATGGTGCCAAATTTTCATCTATCTCAAGAGTCTCGAGGGGTTGTTATTTTTGTTACAGGGAGGACTCCTTTGAGCTATCCCTGGAGGGTTATGGGATCAAAGACCAAAAGGCATCTGGGACCATTTTTCACTTCGTTAATGCTGAAGGCACTTACCAGGTTCTCCCTTTCTCTCAACCCCTTTTTGATTTAGTAGATAAATTCTCCGCCTTTGATATTGTTATTTGTAGTTAATTTTTTATGGCCAAATTATGTGGAGATAAATTAAGTATATAAAGTTGGATTTAATGAATTAAGCAGTAGATAGCGATTGTGGCTTCCCTACCTTCATCATCTAATGTCCCTTAGATTGGAAGGGAAATTAGTTTTCTAATTGAGTATCAGTGTGCAAGATCTGCTATTGGAATAATTGGTGGTAGACTCTTTATTGAATGAATCCCATACACACACATACATTGGTAAATTAGTGGCTTTAAACCTTTGACAGTGCCCATTTTCCACCCTATCCTTACCTTGTAAATAAATATACGAGACAGTAAATTCAAAAGCAGACCCTTGAAAGTTAAAAGGATAATAGTATAATGAGAGAGCTGGAGTTTTTATAAGTCATACGTTTAACAGCTCAAGGGAGATAAAATTCGATAACATAAAAGGTGTTCCTTAGAAGTCAATAGCATTTGGAAATAACTTCTTTTCAAGTTGACCAAATTGTGTTGATTGTATGATCAAATTCATTTGTAGTGTTGTTGATAATTGATGTGCACTGGTTGATAGGAAATATGGGAGATATTATTCTAGAAAAAAATCAATTCTCTTTATGTCATTTTAATATTTTGTAAGAAGGAAAATATAAAGCCTAACTTTATATAGACAAGGTGTTAAGGTTTTCTTTTGTGTTCTTTTGTAAGAGGAAATCTGAAAGTTAGCTTTATATGTAGATGTAATTAAGGCTTCCTTATTTAGGCATGAGAGTTTTGTTAAATAGACTTGATTGCACGTGTAATGGACAGACTTGATGAATGAATGAAATATTGTGATTGCATATTCAGAAGCTCTCCCCCTCTCTCTGCGTTCTATCTCCCTCCCCCTTGCTCCCCCATTGTTTTATTCTTCATTTCTCCTTCCCTATTTCTATTTTCTCTCTACTCTCTCCCTCTATTCAGATGTGTGTGAGTGTGTGTTACATCAGTTTGGTATCAGAGCTTGTGTTCCTATGTTCCTTGACCATTTCCGTCACCTGAAAATCACAGAAAACTCGCTTGAAAAACTCACAGACCTTGTTTCACGCTGCCTACCCAGAAATGCCCGCTTCCCAACATCAGATTGCTAAAACACCACCGCCATCATGTTCAAGAGGAGGAATCCTGTCAGAACGGGAAATTTCACCTCCGTCCTCTGACACATGCACCTCCACGCATCGGTGGAGTGATCTGCGCGGCCACCGGTGACAATCTACGCGTGACTTCACGTGCCAACGTGCACAGTGCCCAGAATCTGCGTGTTGCATGCTTTCAAGGAGATTTCTATGGTTTTGAGCAAGCTTGAGGATCCCAAATCATCTTTCAAAGCATTATTTAGGTAAAAGTTCAACTTTTAGGCTTTTAAAGCTTCGTTGGTAAGGCTATTGACCTCTCATTTATTTGACTTATACGGTTTTTAGGAGGAGGTAGTTCTTCCTTTCATGCTTGGTTTGATATCTTTTGTTTGATCTTTGAGCATGCAATTTAATTTTTAAAGTGTGTTTAGTTTAATATTCTTAAAAAAAAATTGATCATTATTATTGTTAATTTGTACCTCTTGACAGCATTATTCCCAACCTAGAACACACTTACCTCACACACAATTCGACCCTATACCCGGGTCAAGAAATTAGCATAGGTTAGTTGAAGTTTAACGGTTTCCCTGTAAGGTTATAGGCCTTCGGAGGTTATTGTGAAACTTCACTCAGGTTGTTACCTCTTTAACATACAATCCTTGAGAAATTTTGAATTTCTAGAGGATTAGTATTGTTAGAAGGCGACTTCACCTTTTTAGATGAGGGCAACTTGGGAACTTTTTCCTTAAGGTTTCTAGAACCACACTAAACCCTACACTTTAAAATATTGCCCTTGTCATTGTATGACCATTCATGATTTATATGACAAGCAAGCTTATTAGATTAAGAAATTACTACCCTTAAATTTGCCATGGCCAATAACTTCCAAATCACCCAAAATCACCTTGCGGAATCTGAGAGGGCTCAAAGGGCATATGTGGACCAGCGATTTGATGAACTCAAGGAAGTCATGAATAGGAAATTTGAAGAGATAATGGGTGCTATTCAGTTGCAATACAAACAAGATATAGGAAAGGTAACTTAAGGGCTGTTAGAGAGACCAATATTCATAGGAGAATCCAGTTTTAGGAATGAGAGATCCCCTATCTTTAATCAACCTAGGGAAACTCCCTGTAAGATTGGTCATTCTTCTGGAAACATGGGTGGAAGACATGGTAGACCCTCTCCTCATGAACTTATCAATCATCAATCGAAAGATTTAGATGATACTTGGGATGGTCATGACCACGAAGAACAACATCGTGGACCACTTCAACCAATTCAGCGGAACGGTAGAGAAAACTTTAGAAGGGTGCATACTTATGACATCACCAAAAAGGTTAAGGTTGAGGCCCCTGAATTTGATGGAAGATTGAATGCTAGTGCTTTCTTAGATTGGTTAGCCAGTATGGAAGACTACTTTGAATGGTATGACATGAGTGATACCCCACGAGTTTGATTTGCAAAGATGAAGCTTGTGGGTTCTGCAAGAAAATACTGGCAAAATGTTCAAAAGAACAATAAGCGACAGGGATATCTTCCGATTGAGGTGTGGGATGAAATAAAGGCAAAGTTGAAAGAGAAATATGTGCCGATTCATTACAAGAGTCAGTTATACAACAAGTACCTCAACCTGAAGCAAGTTTCCACTGCTTCTGAGTATATATCTCGTTTCGACGACCTTATGATTAGAAGTGACGTGGATGAAGAAGAATGGCGCACAATCACTAGGTTTGTTAATGGACTCAAGTCATATATACAAAAGGAGCTCAAGCTGAACTTCCCTAAGTCTCTTGAGGAAGTGTACCATAAGACCTTGGAAGTAGAATCTCTGTTGCAGTACACTTCTGTTAGGCGTACCGACTTGCAGAGCAATCAATAGGCACGAAGTTCAAACCTGATGGAGCGACCTTCTGGAGAACCTACATCTAGGCCTACCTAAAATGGGTTCAAGAGTAATACCTCTAAGCCTATTGAGGCTTCCCGCCCTAGTAACTCTCTTGTTGAGTGTTTCCGTTGTCCCTCAAAGGGTCATATTGCTTCAAAGTGCCCACAACGAGCTTTAATTATTGACTCACCTTTTGAGGAAGAGGAGAATAATGTCAATGCTGACTAGTTGTGGAACCAGTTGAGTGTCCTTTAGATGTTGACGAGGACATCATCATTGATGAATATGGGTGTAAGACATGTTGAGTTGGAGTTATGTGATGCATTTTGTCGGTCCTTCTACCTAGTGATTCATGGAAGCGAACTAGTATCTTCCATACCTTTGTGAAGTGTGGAGGCAAATCTTGCAAGTTAGTGATTGATAGTGGGAGCTCTAAAGATGTGATTTCTAGTCAAGGAGTAGTTTGGCTCGGTCTCAAGACAAAACCTCATCCAGAACCTTTTTGAGTTGTGTGGATTGACAAAACTTCTTTACTAGTCACTCAACAATGTCGCATTCCTCTGCAACTAGGTGACTATAAAGAAGAGGTTCTTTGTGATGTTCTCCCAATAGATGTTGCTCACATTCTGCTAGGTCGACTGTGGCTTTATTATCACAATGTCATCAACCATGGTCGCGAGAATACATATACATTTAAGCATAATGGCAAGACAATCTTGCTACGCCCTGCTAAGCCTAACACTAATGTTAGACATCTGAGTAATTCAAAAGGTATGAAGCCCAAAAGCCAAAGTTTGCACCTTCTAATAGAGAAACGGTTTGTGCGGGAAAGCAAAGACAGTACACTTGTGTTTGTTTTGGTGTCTAAGATCTCGCAATGAATTGCTTTGGTTACAACTATGGAAATGCCTAGGGAAGTTCAACAGCTCTTAAACAAATTTCAAGACATTTCCCTGGATGAGCTTCCATTTGATCTACCGCCAATGAGGGATATCCAACATGCAATTGATTTTATTCCGAGTTCACAACTCCCCAACCTACCACGCTACTAGATGAATCCAAAAGATAGGGAAGAGCTTAACCGACAAGTTAATGGATTACTAGAGAAAGGTTATATCCAACATAGCATAAGTCCCTGTGCAGTACTTGTTCTTTTGACTCTCAAGAAAGACAGCTCTTGGAAAATGTGTACAGACAGTAGAGCCATCAACAAGATTACCATCAAGTATAGCTTTCCTATTCCTAGACTTGATGGCATGCTTGATTTGGTATCCAGATCTAGTTGGTTCTCGAAGATTGACCTAGAGATGAGTGGAAGACTGCCTTTAAAACACGAGATGGGTTGTTTGAATGGCTTGTCATGCCATTTGGGTTATCAAATGCCCCAAGTGCATTCATGAGAGTAATGACTCACCTCCTTCGCTCGTACTTGGAAAAATTCTTAGTGGTATACTTTGATGACATACTAGTCTTTAACAAGTCTAAACTTGAAACATCTTGAGTTAATTTTTCTCACCCTGCGTCAAGAACAGTTTTATGTTAACTTGCCCAAGTACTCATTTCTTCATAATCGAGTCATCTTCTTGGGTTTTATTGTTTCTGAAAGGGGTTTAGCAGCTGACCCTGAGAAAGTCCGAGCTATTCAAGAATGGCTTGAGCCACAATCTCTCCATGAAGTACGAAGTTTTCATGGCCTTGCTTCTTTCTATAGACGCTTCATTAGAAACTTTAGTACTATTATGGCTCCTATCACTGATTGCTTGAAGCAAGACAAGTTCCAATGGACTTCTACAGCATCCTTAGCTTTTCAGGATATTAAGACGAAGCTTTGTGAAGTTCCAGTCCTCTCTTTGCCAGATTTTATGAAGTGTTTCGAAGTTGCTTGTGATGCATCTGGGACAAGAATCGGAGGTGTTCTAAGCCAAGATGGTCACCCTGTGGCTTTCTTTAGCGAAA